TCAGTTATACACTTGGCTGGTCTGGTCAGGGAGGGGTTACCAGTTTCCTCTTTTTCCATGGTTGATGCAAGGCTTAAATGTAAAGCTCCACACCAGGTAGGTGCTCAATAAATGTTAGTCCCTTTTCCCATCCCTTTGGAACAATCTGGAACGTTGAACTGAAGACATTTCCTGGGAAGCTTTCAAGAGTCCAATCTAAGAATAGGGTTGGCCCCCAGGAGCCAGTAGAGACCATGACACCACCTGCTTCCCAACCTGCTCTCTCGTCTGAGCTGGAGCTGTGCCGTGGGCAGGTCTGAAACACCTTGTGCCTTGTGACCAAGTGCCTTGTATTCTTTATCTGTTCTCCTCACAATAACCCTATCAGTCAAGTATGACTTCAAGTAAGAACCATGTTATTGATGAAGAAACGGAGACACAGATTCAGTAAGTTGCTCAAGGCTGGGATTTGAACCCAAACAGCCTACGTCAGTGATGGCGAACCTATGACACGCGTGTCAGAGGTGATACGCGAACTCATTTTTTTGGTTGATTTTTCTTTGTTAAATGGCATTTAAATATATAAAATAAATATAAAAAATATAAGTCTTTGTTTTACTACGGTTGAAAATATCAAAAAATTTCTATATGTGACACGGCACCAGAATTAAGTTAGGGTTTTTCAAAATGCTGACATGCCGAGCTCAAAAGGTTCGCCATCACTGGCACAGATGTCTCTTTGCCAGAAAATCCTGTAGTTTAGAAAAATAATTTAAAGTGCATAGAAAATGTCTGGAACAAAACCTTGATAAAGTGAGATTGGGGGTAAGGGTACAGAAACATTTTGTATTTTATATACTTCAGTACTACTAAAACTTTAAAAAATATGCTTTTATAATTTAAAAAAAATCCTCACCTGAGGTTATGTTTATTGATTTTTGGAGAGAAAAACATAAATGTGAGAGAAACATCAATCGGTTGCTTCCCGTTCATGCCCTGACTGAGGATTGAACCCACAACCGTTTGGTGTATAGGACAATGTTCCAACCAACCAAGCCATCAAGCGAGCCACCTGGCTGGGGCTACTTTTATAATTTTCCTAAATGGACATTAATGGTCAATGATCTCGTATTTGTCATTCCCTTTTCATTGCTCTGTCCACCAGACATTTAGCTACTAGAACCAGAAATAAATTTGGGCAATAAAGGCCTTTGAACGGGAACACCTATTGAACCTGAATTTGACACATGATGGGAGGGCAAGTCCAGTGAAGTAAGTGTAGACATTTCTGTGATTATAACTAGCATTTAGTTGAATCATGTTTTCTGATCCAATCTGACAATCTTTTAGAGTATTCAGTTTGTTTACATTGAATGTAATTGCTATAAGTTGGCTTTAAGTCTACCATCTTACTATTTATTTCTATGACTACCGGTAAGTAAACTTTTAAATTTAAGCCAGAATTGCCCTGGCCTGTGTGGCCCAGTTGGTTGGAGCATCATCCAGTACATCAAAAGGTGGCGGGTTCGATTCCTGGTCAGGGCGCATAGGCAGGTTGTGGATTCAATCCCCAGTCTGGACATGTGAGACAACAGTGAGACAACTGATGTTTCTCTCTCTAAAATTAAGAAAAAATAAAACAAACTTAAGCCAGAATTTACCTTATACTTCGGCTTCAGCCTGCTCATTATCAGCCACCCCAACAAACATAGCAGGTTGCCAGGTGGCCAGAGAGGGTATTTGTTTTTTATCCTGTACTGTTAGAGTGGGAGGAGCTGGGTCTTTGGCTCTGCCTCAACAGGTGCAATTCCATGTTGGTCCTATGTATTAGTGATTGATTTTGTGAAAGACTATGAAAGCAGGGTTCTGTGGTTACAAAGTTTGAATTCCAAAGTCGTTTCTGTAACTTTAATACACAGCCAGGCAAGAATATGGATTACAAAGTAAGGCTGATCACTCCGGGACCAGGCTCTAGGCCAGTGATGGCGAGCTTATTGAGCTCGGCGTGTCAGCATTTTGAAAAACCCTAACTTAACTCTGGTGCCGTGTCACATATAGAAATTTTTTTATATTTGCAACCATAGTAAGACAAAGATTTATATTTTTGATATTTATTTTTTATATTTAAATGCCATTTAACAAAGAAAAATCAACCAAAAAAATGAGTTCGCGTGTCACCTCTGACACGCGTGTCATAGGTTTGCCATCACTGCTCTAGGCAATGCTCCAGCTCTGGACAATTTGAGCTGAAAATAACTAAGATTATCCTGGTCTCAGGAACTGGGAGAACAGCTGAGTCTTGAAGAAGCTAAACTGGGAAAGGGCAGAGGTAATGCAGAGGAATCCCACAAGTCTTGACACTGGAGACAGCAATTCTAAGTTTAAAATGGGCAGCCTTCCACCTCAGGGCCACTCCACTGTTGGCTTCTGACAGTACATGCACCAACAGGAAATCACTTTCAGGTTATCTTTCTAGATACAGATGTTTAAAATTTTTTTTTTTTGGGGGGGTGTTCCAGACTGTTGTGGTTATCACAAGATGTCCTACTCATTAAGTCTAAAGCAGACAGCACTACTGACTTTATGCTTCTTTCCAGGAGACACACATTTTCCTAAGGCAGGACATGGTTTCATTATATTATATTTTGCAGCCTTCTGGGCTAATGGGACCAACTAAGCAGACTAACCCCAAAATGTGCTTTGCCATACAAGTAGCACAGAAGAGAACTGGAGGCAGGAGTGACTGACAGGGCAGTCAAAAATACAACTAGGCAACAGGAGCACAGGCTGGGAATCAAAGCTTCCGACTTCACAAGCATCTCATCCCTAAGTGGCTACAGAAGCTTAGCAGTTTAGGGTGAATTCCAGCTCTGGCACTTACTGTGTACATTTGGATAAATTAATGCCCACACCATTTACAATCTATAGCACCATCTGATGCACTGGTTGTTGTGAGAATGAAGTGAGATACAGCAGCAAAGGTGCTTGGTACATGCTGGTTCAGAGCAGCCCTCAGTCATCAATGGCTATCATTTCCCACAGTGGGAAGGTAAGGTCATAGCAGGCCTAAATGGCGGCCAAAGTTCACTTTTAAAGGACTTGAAGGATCAAATATTTCAAAAGCAAAGTAGACATAAAATTGAGAGCTATCTCTGGTGAAATCACTTAAGTCCTTCCTTCTCTATGAGTGACTTGGTCACATACCTTAGGACTGTCCTTTACTCAGTCTCCTTCTTTCTATTTACCAGAACTCTACTCTAATTCAGACCAGTTTCCAATCTGCATTGTTGCAAAAGCATTCTAGGCTTTAGCCTCCCTAACTGCCAGACTTTTACTGAGAAAACCCTAGCAAAAAACCACAGAAGACCTTCAGAAAAAAACGTATTTGCTCAAATTTTCTCCCAGGGGACCCCTTATGCCTAATGGGTAAGGCCTCAATTTCTGACCTTCATACACAAAGCCATTAACGTAAACTGATTTTCCAGCCTCTTGGCACCACTGACCCTTCAATCTAATAAATACACTGTTCCTTTAACACACTGGGGTCTTTCCAAGCCTTCATACCGTCACCTTTCTTTTCCCTATTCAATCTTAAAGGCTCAACTATAGTGTACCTCTTCAGTGAAGCCTACTCAGCTCCCCCAGTTTCTTTTTTCTGGCTTCACTGTATCACTTAATCTTTAACAGAGCATTTTCTTTCTTTACATCTGCCTTTCCCAACAGACATACTCTTTTATTTCTTGTCTTTTTATTGATTGATTTTTGGAGAGGGAGGAAGTTAGGAGAGACAGAGAAACATAGATTTGTTGTTCCACTTATTTATGTATTCATTCATTGGTTGATTCTTGTATGCACCCTAACTGGGGATTAAACCCGCAACCTTGGTGAATTAGGATGATGCTCTAACCCAGTGGTTGGCAAATTCATTAGTCAACAGAGCCAAACATCAACAGTACAATGATTGAATTTTCTTTTGAGAGCCAAATTTTTTCATCTTAAACTATATAGGTAGGTACATTGTTATTAACTTAATTAGGGTACTCCTAAGCTGGCCTTTGCTAAAAACGTCCTCAATCTGATTGAAGTACGTTGGCTGAGGTCATCCTCTTCCAACTCTCCCATCCGCACTTGTCTTGTATACTTGTTTCATCTATCTTTTGCCACCCGCGCGCGATTTGCGGAAGTGACTAGCACTAACCACTGCACAACGAGACTGCTGACTGGCTCACTCAACTTGTGCAAAAATCGCGCTCGCCTCCCCCACGCTGCGTCTCCCGTCTGACCGACACCCCCCACTTCTTCAAAATAGCCTTGCCCAGGCCGGAAACCGACTTCTGCGCATGGGCCACGAAGTTTCAATCACCCTGTAGTGCGCGCCCGCACGTGGTGTTTTGTGAAAGAGCCACACTCAAGGGGCCAAAGAGCCACGGTTTGCCGACCACTGCTCTAGCCAACTGAGCTACTTGGCCAGGGTCCATACTCTTCTATTTAAAACATTTTTCTATCTGTTCCAATGCTATTGCTTAGAGTAGTTGTGGTGATAATACATTTTTAAAGTACTTTGTAAAACTGTAAGGTGTAAGGGATTACACCGTTACTATCCTGCTATGAAAGAAACAGGAGGAATGAAGCAGAAAGTGATGTTGTCTCTTTCCTTTTACCAGTCTGAACAGGGTTTGACCTACTGTGGCCATTATATTAAAGATAACCAGCTTGCATAATGGCTTTAAAAGAGAATGAATAGCCCTCTGCAGTGCACCCAAGTAAATATAAAACATAATGAGAAACCACAAGATGTGTTACAGTTAAAAGTGCATCTATAATATAAAAGTTTTACTTTTTTCCTGTAACTTTTAATGTAAGACATCTAAAGTCTTAAACAGTTGATCCTATTAGGAACAAAATAGGGCACAGCATGGATTCCAGAAACAAGAACATTTCTTTTTTTTGCATTTAGGCTTTTCATCAATGATTATCAATTTGCCAAGGATAGTAACAGTCAGATACTGGAGAAAAGAAGATATGAGAAACATCTTTTATTTTTCTAAAGAAGTGAAAATAAGTAAGATCTCTTATATTTCTCACTCGTAAGATTTTTAAACTTTAAAAATGCAATTTCCTTTTTTCAAAGCACATGCTATCTTAAAAAAAATCTTAGCAATGTACATTTGCACTCAAAGAAGAACATGCAGCACCATTGTCTTCTGACAAAATTCTGCATAAAACCCCACACAACTTCTGCAAATTCTGTTCCCTCTTTATCATTTAGGGACTTAAACCACAAACATTCAGTGCAATATTTATTGTCTCATTTCCGTAGGAAACACAGGACCAATGATGTCTTCTGAGCACAACTGTTTCCTGATGGTTGAGCAACAGTCTCCCTCTGCCCTGCTTTAAAGGACTCTCTTTAACTTACTGATGTAAGGTACAACTAGAATCCAGTAAAACTTGAGGATCCAAGTGGGGGATGGAGGAGAAATACTTAAGGTGTACCCTGTGCCATAAACTTAGAAAAAAAATTTACACAGAAAACAACAAAAACCTCGAATTTTATCAACGCACCCTTTTAAAAAGTGTTGTGTTTTTTTTTTAATTTCTGAAAGCAGCTTAATATGAATCAAAAGCAGTTCCTGAGTAACTGCAGTAAACAGTGTCTTTTTAAAAAATATATTTATATATATATATTTGCAACTTAGCTCATTTTGGTTCTGCCTTAGTTTACCTCCCCAGCTTTTAGTTTAATCAGTTCTTTTCCTTTCAGTTCACAATGTGCAAGTACAATAGCATCAGCTCTGAGAGTTGGCGTGGTGCAGACGTTTCTTGCACTTCTGTTGATCATCTGCCTGTCAGGCCAGGTTTCCAGAGTCACTGTAGGTCACAGTTCTCTCAATCTCACAAAACCTGTAAGAGCCACAGACACCTCACGTTTTCTTCAGCAGACGTCGTGACTGCCACGTGTGGAGCTTGTTGTAGGCTGTCTGGAGCATCTCTTCTATGTGACTTACCAACTGAAAAACAAAGCAGGACATTTAAACAACTGGGCTGGGAAGTCAATGCCTCTGATTCAGATCTGGCATATACTTCAGAGTGCAGTTTCAAAGCTCACTTGCATTTCCCCAATAAGGCAACGAGCAAGCCCTCTGTGAAGCTATTATCAGACACATTTTGTACAGAAACTTGCGATGATGGGGTACAGCAGTGGCTGGAAATTCACCTGTTCTGTCTAGGTTGTAATGTCTGCCCTGTCATTAACTAGTTACAGGACAACCTGAAAGTCTTAACTGTGTGATAGGCCTCAGTTTCTTCTGCTAAATGAGGTCAAGATAGTGGCATTCGCATTACCTTACAGAACATTTGAAAAATGTCTCATTCCCTTGAAGATTCTGATGTAGCAGGTCTGAGATGAGACCCAGGAATCTTTGATTTTCAAAAGCTCCTGCAGTTAATTTTGCTGCATAGCCAATCTTGTGAAGCACTTTTCTATGTTTTCTAGGGCCTTTCCAGCTCCAACATTTCAGGATTCCAATATAACCCAGTAGATTACAGAAAATCTAAATGGTTTCAATGCTTCACACAAGTAGTAGTTCATAGCTGAGGTCAGCGCTACGTATCTTGAGTAGAAAAAAATTTGCCCTCATCATGGACATAACCAGAAGTCAATAGGACCACATTGGTCTAAGTGGTCGGCAAACTGCAGCTCTTTGGCCCCTTGAGTATGGCTCTTCCACAAAATACCATGTGTGGGCATGCACATACAGTGCGATTGAAACTTCGTGGCCCATGCGCAGAAGTCGGTATTTTGTGCAAGAGCCACACTCAAGGGGCCAAAGAGCCACATGTGGCTCACGAGCCGCAGTTTGCTGACCACTGGTCTAAGCTAATGAAGACTCGGGAGGTAGAATGTCTTTGGAATATCTGTTTCCTTGGAGGCAGACATTTTTTATGTGGTTGGAAGCAAAAGTCTTTTAAAGTCTCCAAGTCAATTCTGGCAGTATTGGGGTAACAATCAGGAAGTCCTAAATCCTTTAAGCATGTCAATGACTTAGATCCAGTCTGAAGGAGAGTTAAAAAAAAACCTCCTATTTACGTCGGTTATCATTGAGAGTGTGTGTGTGTGTGTGTGTGTGTTGTTATTTAGTTCTGTCTGGAACTAAAAATGATACAAAAACAAAAATCATCCTTGCCCTGCTGCACCAAGATTCTCCAAGCTGCTTTTCTGGTAACTAATACTGTTATATTTTGAGAAAAAACAGCTTAGAATGTTTAGGGTATAAAGACTTACTAAAAACCTTACTGATGCAGATTTTTCAGCTTTCAATTATAAAACTCCTTTTGATTATCCTACTTATGGATATATTGAGTCCTGAGTGTGTATATACTATTTTTTCCTATCATTTTTGAAAGGATTTGCATCACACACACAAAAACAATCTTTTGTGGTTGCTCTAGTCTTGCATTAAAAACACCGCTAAGCCCTAACCGGTTTGGCTCAGTGGATAGAGCGTTGGCCTGCGGACTGAAAGGTCCCAGGTTTGATTCCAGTCAAGGGCATGTACTTTGGTTGTGGGCACATCCCCAGTAGGAGGTGTGCAGGAGGCAGCTGATCGAAGTTTTTCTCTCATCGATGTTTTTAACTCTCTATCCCTCTCCCTTCCTCTCTGTAAAAAAATCAATAAAATATATTGAAAACAAAACAAAACAAAGCTAAGCCCTGGTCGGTTTTGCTCCGTGGATAGAGCACTGGCCTTTGGACTGAAGGGTTCCAGGTTTGATTCCGGTCAAGGGCACATGCCCAGGTTGTGGGCTCGATCCCCAGTGGGGGGTGTGAGGGAGGCAGCCAATCAATGATTCTTTCTCATCATTGGTGTTTCTATCTCTCTCTCCCTCTCCCTTCCTCTAAGAAACACACACACACACACACACAAAGCTAAAAACCCTGGCACAAAGTGACACTTTTCATTCAGTACCTCATCCAGCACCCCACCCTGATGTAAACAATCAGGGGCTGTTGAATTTACTATCACAGTGGCAATTCTGCCTTTCATTGCGTTGCTAGGTTCATGCTTATTACTCTGGCTTTCAAGATATGTATTTCTTGTTGTTATTAATCCTATACTGAGGATATTTTTCCAGTGATTTTCAGAAAGAGTGGAAGAGGCAGCGAGAGACAAACATTGATGTGAGAGAGATATATCCATTGGCTGCCTCCCACACCTGCCTGGACCAGGACCTGGGATGGAGCCTGCTACCAAGGTGCATGCCCTTGACAGGAATAGAACCCAGGACCCTTCAGTCCATGGGCCGACACTCTATCCATTGAGCCAAACTGGCCAGAGCAAAAATAAATTTTTTAGGAACACATACATAGGTTGTAAATCTATAAAGAAAAACATGGAGATGATTATTAGAAATGCCTCATTAATCATGGCCTTGATTACGAGTGAGGGGTATGAGTGAGGGGTAGGTAATTGACAGGGACCCTCAGGGAATACCTATGGGTATGGAAATGTTCTATTTCTTTTTTTTTAATATATATTTTATTGATTTTTTACAGAGGAAGGGAGAGGGATAGAGAGTTAGAAACATCGATCATCTGCCTCTTGCACACCCCCCACTGGGGATGTGCCCGCAACCAAGGTACATGCCCCTGGCCGGAATTGAACCCAGGACCCTTCAGTTCGCAGGCTGACACTCCATCCACTGAGCCAAACCGGCCAGGGTGGAAATGTTCTATTTCTTACTGTGATTGGTGGACACACATATATTTATTATTTTAGAGTTAAAAAACAGTATTCTGAGTTAGAGAAAAACAATGTATTCTACTCATTTACATGAAAACAAAGTTAGTCTCATTTTACTACATAGAAAAAGAAAATCAGGCCAAAATCAGATTGTTGCCTTACGTTTGTGCTTAAATACTGTCTTCGAATTTTTTCTTGGAATGGGCAGAGCTTTGTAACCTGGAATCGTTCCAAATTACTTTTCATTTTCACTACCTACAAAAGGTGAAAGAAATAATGAATTACAATCTCAAAGCATTTATAGAGATCAAGATAAAAATGCACTAAGGAAGGTTACTTTATTATTATTTTTTTAAAGATTAATTGGCTCCACCAGGCAGAGAAGCAAGATAATTAAAAATTTAAAAGTAAAAGAAATCTATCCCCAAATAATGGTTGCTGTAGAAAAAACTTAAAAAATGCCAAAGGTAGAAAATAAAAACATACTTATTATATTAATACTTTGGTCCATAACTCATATCCTTCCCGACATTTTTTAAAATTTTATTTTATTATTGTATTTTTTATTGTCTAAAGTTTTACATATGTCTCCTTTTCCCCTGATTGACCCCCTCAGCCATTCCCATCCCAGGCAAGCCCCCACCGACCCAGTGTCTGTGTCCATTGGTTACGCTAATATGCATACATACAAGTCCTTTGGTTGCTCTCTAACCCCAACACATCCCCTACCATTTGTCTCTGGATCTACTTTTGTTCATCAAATTATGTTGATCATTATATCCCACATTTGAGTGAGATCATGTGATATTTATCTTTCTCTGATTGGCTTATTTCACTTAATGCTCTCCAGTTCCATCCATGCTGTTGCAAATGATAAAAGTTCCTTCTTTTTATAGCGGTATAGTATTCCATTGTGTAGATGTACCACAGTTTTTTAATTCACTTATCTGCTGATGGGCACTTAGGTTGTTTCCAAATCGTTGCTATTCCTTCTTGACATTTTTTGTGCATGTGTATAAATGTATATATGCAGAAAATACACAGTGCATACTATTTTAAAATTTCACTAGGTTTAATATGAACATCTTTCAGTCATTAAATACTCACCCAAGTCATCATTTAAAATAGATGTATAGAAACATCAATGATGAAAGAGAATCATCGACTGGTTGCCTCCTACGAGTTCCAACCAGGTCCCGGGCCAGGGAGGAGCCTGTAACTAAGGTTCATGCCCTTGACTGGAATCGAACCTGGGACCCTTCAGTCCGCAGGCCGATGCTCTATCCACTGAGCAAAACTGGCTAGGTCTGGGTCAAGTCATTTAAAAAGAAATGATCAGTTTAAGTTTTTTTTTTCTTTTGCAGATTTTAGATGAAAATGCTCTTTGACTGTTATCTTTAAAGATAATTTATTTGAATACTAGTGAGTATGAAAATTTCCTCTTAGGTTTATTGGGCCACTTGCATTCTTTAGTGAGTTAGTTGTCTGTTAAAATTCTTTTGCCTATTATTTTTAATAGGGCATTTGTCTTTCTCTTAAAAAATTTAAAGAATAATCTATATAGTAAAACTACTACCATTAATACTATACTTTTCTATCTGCCAACTTTCCTTTAATTGGTTAACAAGATTTTAGTGTTAAATAGCAAGTACTATATTTTTCATCAATCTCAGTTTAGATTTTATTACTTCTAAAAAACATACCAAATAATTATACTGATGTGACTTGTTTTAGGTCTCTGTTCTTTAATCATTCCCAGTGGCTTAGAGGTAAATACAAGTTTTAAGATGTATGATCATATGTTATGGAACTGGTCTGGACCTAAGTTTCTTAATCTTTAAAATTGGTATCAATACCTACTCCATCAGGATGCTGTGAGGCTTAAATAACATATGCAAAGCAGTTATCCCACTGTCTGTTACATGGTAAACAATACAGATTTCCAATTTCAAAATAATACCTCACTAAGTCACACTACTATAATAGCTGGCTGTGTTTGGAACTGGTTCTACCTTTTCTTCTAGGAATGGCGTATTAACAGGAAAGCAGGACCAAAAGTGCCGAAGAAGTTCCCCAACAGCCACATACAGGTGTTTCAATTCAGACTGAATATCATTTGGCACCATCTCTGCAAAAGAAAAGCCCATGGGATAAAAGCTGTTTTCCCGTATATATAGTCTTGGAAAGAAGGACATGCACTCGTTGCCACTGCCAAACCAGGATGTGCTATTCTGAGATATGTTACTGATTTTGTGGCTGACAGATCACAGAATTTAAATTCCTTTGGGATTCTGGAAAAACTTTTAGGTTTCCCTTTATTCTAAGAGGCAGGTGAGGAAAAAGGAAAGCTTTTAGGGTGATATAGGGAGACTACGAATGTGCCACTTCTTGTAAAATTAAGACAATTCTGAAATCAAAGTTATTGTCTAGATATGTTTCAGGATCTGGATGCATAAAAATTACAACAAAAAATATCCCAGAAAATTTCCAAAAAAACACCAATAAAATTTTAGCCCTTCTCCTCTCAAAGTGCTCTTTAGACAGCAATAGAAGGTGGTCCAGCACATACGGTTTATGGCTTGCTGTGTCCCTCCCTGCATAAGTGCTCCTCCAGGCGACAGTGCTGTGATGGTGCTGGTGGCGGCACTACTTGAGAGAACCTGAAAGAAAACACAGAAAGTAGTTTCCCTCTTTTTTGCTATCTTTTTTAACATTTCAGTTTTATAGCAAAATGTTGAGTTTTATTACTGTATAAATATATAATTTATAGCAACCAGAGTGAACTACTACTTTTTACACAGAAACACGGTGTGTGTAGAAAGTGAATATATACCAATCTTCCAGGAATACTAAGCAAGTCCACAGGTACCCCCGAACTCACACACTTTTGCCTTGTCAAACCTTTTCTTAAGCACCAATTCAACTTAACTTGTGAACTCTTACCATTGAAGGTAAAACTGAGTTTAAGAAAAAGAAACAAGTAAATCAACATGTATCCTTGCTGGGAGCTGGGGGATAGGGGTGGGGTGGGGGGTGGGAACACAGCAGAACTACATCATTTGTCATCAAAGAACTGAATATACTTAGCTAAAAGAGGAAAGAATGTATTCTGTACTGTGTCAGTATCAACATTCAGGGACATAACTGACCTATCTACTCAATGAGCGCCCACAAGTGCCAGGCACAGTGGCTACAGAGGAACAAATCATTTGGTGAATAGCTTCAAGTGCAGGATTAGTGTGTCCAAAGTTTTTCAATGGAATTTTTACAAGTATAAATCCATGTATGTATGGGCTAGAGAAGAAAAATTAAGCTTGGTATTGAGTATAGCACATAACAACCATGAGTCAAGGGGACATGAAGTTTACTTTGCTATTTCCTTTTGTCAGAATATTTATAATGCATTGTAACCAAAAACTTGTGATTACTGAGCTTGCTGACTAGCTCCTGGCTGCACTCAGGTATATACACCTGAGAACACATAATCTCTTGGGCCTTCATGCCTCAATGTTTCTCAGATAATAAAATCAAATTGGGGGGGGGGGCAGGAAGGGTACATATGGGGAAGACTGGAAATACTTAAGACTAACCACAGGTTTAAAAAGTTAGGCGGGTCTCTTGGGCCCAATGGCCAGATATTGGACAATTACAGTCTAGAAGGAAAGAAATGGTCAAATAAGCCCAAATGTGTGTGTGTGATATATATGCATATATGTATTTCCTAGTTCTGTCTGCTGAGGAGACAATAACACAAGTAGCAAATTACACCCTAATAGCAATGAGTACACCCAATACTGGGATCTTGGTTTCTAAATCTACTCAGTACTAAAAGGAAGATTCTGTGACTGGGGCAGGTAAAGTATAAGATGAACCTCAAAAACCTATCCCATTGTGCCATAAAACATAAAATAAGGAGGTGCTCAACTGATGAACATTATCAGAAACATAAAGAAGCCAGTGCAAAGGGCTTGGAAAAGGTCTGACTACAAAGGGGCACGGGTACATTTTTGGGGGCAACAAAACTTTTTTTTATATTGATTGTGTTGGTGGTACACAACTGTGTATGTTTATTAAAACCCATAGAACAATACACTAAAAAGGGTAAATTTTACCTTAGTTTAAAAAAAGAAAAAAATAGCAACAATTTATAACCCATAGAATAACGTAAGAATCCATGCTGATATAAGTAAATACAGGAGAAGGGAAGGAAATTTTCTTTTAGTAGAATGTCAACTGATAAGACTGGATGATGGATTTAGAAAATCACCATTTAACCACCACCATGATAATAATTGTTTTCAGCAAGCATCATCAATGGATTCTAAAAAACTAGTGGGTAAAAGTTTGATGGGAAATAGAATATTTACAGTCTTAAAATAACCCACAATTATTAATTACAAAGGGAAAAATATTAACTTTTTGGTGGAGAAACCAGGCCAATACTACTCTAATCAAGTGATCAAAGTTAATATCACAAGTTAGGACAAATAAGTATGTGCCTGCTGATGTGAGGATGACACATCATTTACAGGTTAGTTCTGTGGTGTTTCTGCTAAAAATACATAATATGAGTCCAATGTTAAAGAAACATTAGGGAAACTCAATTGAGGGCATGCCACAAAAAAATGGCTTGTACTCTTCAAATATGAAGGTCATGAAGGCAAAGAAAGATTGAAAAATGATTCCATTTTAAAGGAGACTAAAGAGACATGGGAACTAAATGTAACTCATGAACCTGACATGGATGCTGGACCAAGAAGTCTTCTTTTGCTATAAGGGACATTAGTGGTACAACTGGCGAAATTTTTGTAAGAACTCAGGTTAGATAATACTTTTTTAATGTTAACTTATTGTTTCTATAACTTTACTGATATTACTTATGATAATATCTTGTTCTAGGAAATACGCACTGAAATATTTAGGAATAAAGGGATCTACTCTCAAAATTGGTCAAAAGACATTTTTTGTAACTTCCTGTCAATCTAAGATTACTTCAAAATAAAAAGTAAATATAAGTCCCAATATGTGATGAGGACTACAGTAAAGTCAGGCAGGAACTCAGTGCCTCAGTATTTATAAAAAGAGAAATGGAAAAAACTCATTATGGGGTATATTAAGGATTGCTTTACAGAGGCAATGAAATCTGAGGTGAGTCTTGAATAATTATTATTAGTTTCCCATGGCAGAACAGATTAAGGGCATTCTAAGAAAAGAGAAAGCATGAGCAAAAGCACAGGAAGCATGAAGATAGTATGATCAAACAACTCTGGGTAGTCTAGTGTGTTAGGTTGGAACACAGGACTCTTTGTTATGTGTGGAAGGGAATGGTGGAGATATGGCTGTAGGCAGAACAAGATGTGGGTTAAGGCTTATAAAGGGTCTGGCATACCAGACAAAGGCATTCAGATAATTGCTGTGGCAACAAAAGGGGACAGTGAAGGTTTTTAAGCTGCAGAGTGATAAGATCAGAATTATGGTTTTAGAAATATAATTGTAATGGCAGTGTGGAAAACTGATCAGGTTTGCATAAAGAAGGTGATGAAATAAAAAAAAAAATACTGAAGGCCTGACAGAAATTGATGATTAACTAAAGTATAAATAAGGGTGGGGAAAAATAAAGAACAGATAATGAGCTCTGTTTTACATACTTATTTTATATACTGAGGTCATACAGAATAGTTAGAAAGTGATGACCAGAAGGTATTTTTTGAAAGATTTTACCAACAAAACTGTGTATATGGAAGAAAAAATTAGCAATCACAAAAGCCATTATTTTTCATTATCATATTATCTTCAGATGCTTCTTTTTTTAAAAACATTTTTTAAGAATATATATTTTATTGATTTTTTACAGAGAGGAAGAGAGAGGGATAGAGAGTTAGAAACATCGATCAGCTGCCTCCTGCACACCCCCTACTGGGGATGTGCCCGCAACCAAGGTACATGCCCTTGACCAGAATCGAACCTGGGACCCTTCAGTCCTCTATCCACTGAGCCAAACCGGTTAGGGCACAGATGCTTCTTGAATTAGCCAAATACCTTTTCTCTCTACCTCTTGATTTTTTTTGTATTTATTTAGCAGAAATATGTTTCTAAACACAATTAAAATATTAGTTATATAGTTGGTTGTGCACATAAAATAAGGAAGTAATTGGGTGTGTGGGAATTCTGGTTTTCAAACAATATAAATAACCCACCTGAGTTAATTTGGGTGTATAAGCTTCCATTTCTTGTCTAATACTTTGAAAAGAATTAATAATATCCTGACTTGTTGCATACTGTAGTGACTGGATAGGAGTTGGACCATGATAATACCTAAATGTTAGCAAAGAAGAAAGAAATTACACAGAATAAAGGTGCTCAATATTTGTTTTTAAATATTTTAGCAATCTCAGTACATTTCCCTCACAGCAAAAAATGATAATACAGTTAATGAGATTTCAGTAAGATGATTTATTTCATAAAAGGACAATAAGATGAAAACAGCACAGAGAGCCAAAATTTATTTTCTTGGTTTTGATAATTTAGGATCCTTTCCTGAAATGCACAAAGTACATTAAAAAAAAACCTGTACTTTTATGGTAACAAACTAATTAAATTTGAATACTACACTTGCAGAATATATTCTGCAATGACTTGTGTTATATAACTATTCTGCCTCAACTTAATTTAATATTGACCAAACTTACCTATCTGACTTCTTCAGGTTTAGCGCAATCGTTTTTATGGAATTATTTTTTCCCAAGTCTTCATATTCAATGGACTCTTGTAACTTCGCCTATAATTATTAACACACTTTTAATCATAACTTCCCCTTGTAAAAGTAATGAACATGACTGAAAAAGTAAAACTGTATGGTCTTCATAACATGGGCTTCACTTCTAGAGATGACTGCTGTACAGGTGGTTGAACCCATTTTCTCACCAACCAATTAGAGAGAACACTTGTTTTCCTACACTCCAACCATTCTATTACTACTAAACTTTTAATTTTTGACATTTTGGTAGGTAAAAATGTGTATTTTACTATTTCCCCCCAAGTAAATGACTAATTTATACTTTTTCTCCAATTTAGTGTTTGTTTTTTAATTATTCCCTTTTTGCTTATTTTTCTGTGGATTAATTTTTGCTTAAATCTTTGATCCACTTGGAATTTATTTCAGAATAAGGAGTAAAGTAGGTAATCTGAGTTTCTTTTTACTAAATTATTAATGAGTCTTCCTAACTCCATTTGTAGAATAATTTGTTTTTTGCCCACCAATTCTGAAATGCCTCTTATCATCTAATCTAATAGACAAACATGGTAATTGACCGTATCTTCGCCACGCCTCCCATGGGCTAATCAACACAAAATGCAAATTATCTACCAATAAAGATGGCGGCTAATTTGCATACTGCAGGCAGATCCCACTGCACTGCCCTAGCGTGAGATCCTGGCCTGCCGTGTGCAGGGAGGGGCAAGCGGGGTGGGTGGCAGTGTGATCTGAGCTACCGCCCGCGCCAGCGCGG